ACTTGGAGGACTTAAGGAGGGGGGGCGTGGGGAGGGGTCATGATTATCCAAAAGTATTTCTTCCTTAGGGATTTTAAAGCATCAAATGAATTTAGACTGTTTGGATAATGAAGACACTCAGAGCAAGGAATTTTATTCAGGAATGGACGGGCATGTGTGGAGTTTGCTGGCGTAGATGGGAGGAAGACAAACTTGTGGGGAGACCTAAGGTGGGGGGAGCTTGGGGCACACAGGGCGACTCTTACAACTGGACCCAGAGAAAGTCAGACCGACTCTGAGGACAAAGGCAGTGCTCGAAACCACTGTCTTGGTGTGTCCCCTCCCACAATGAGCCCCCCAACCTGCCTCAACCATACCAGTCCTGCTGGGGGAAGAAAGACGTCTGTTCTCCCCAGAATGGCAGTCACAGTCCAGCCTGGATTGGGTTGTGCCGAACCTCTACACCCAATGCTGGGCAAAGTCAGAGAGCAGAGAAGAACCTCAAAAATTGTTCTCGATGCTCACATCAAGGGGAAAATCTCAGGATCAAAGGGTGGCCTGTCATGAGCCCATACCAATTTGATGCTGCGACCGGGCCCCCAAAGGTTAAGGGGAGTTTTAGTTCATTTCCTAGCAGTCCCGCAAACCTGGCTCGGTCCAAACTCAGGCGGGCCGCCCACCCAACGCAGCCCCCACGCCTGGGCTTTGATTCTGCTCTGGCTGCTGCGGGCTGGCCGGCTTCCCTCTGGCTGCCGCTCTCAGGAAGCCATCCACAGCTGCTGTCGCGCCCTCTCGGGGAGGTGGCAGCATTTCAGTGGTAAAGCAACAGATCTCCAGGCTGTGGCTAAATGCTTCAAAGTTTGTTGAGAATTGTGTCACATTTCCCAAAAGAGCCAACTGCACCCAGTCCCAGCCAAGTAATAAAGCCCTGGGCTCCAAGGAGGCAGTGGGACTCGAACTTCCTATCAGAGCTTGGGCCGATTCCAGGGAAAACGCTGAGGGCGGCACCCCACACACGTTCTTTCAATCAGGCGCTGTGTAAAAGACTTAGCAATTTCCTCAAGCTGAATGTACAGCCCTGACTTTTCCAGAATGCCACTCACTGTGCCGCTTAGTTTATCAATCTCCCCAATAAATAAGTACCCATCGCCATGAAAAACTGCCCCCACACCAAAGATCACGGAGGTCAGTTGTCCAAGACAGAATCTGCCTGAAAATTCCTGCCTGGCCCCTGGGCTTTAGCCCCACCTGCTGGCACTCCCGAGAGACCCACGCGGTGGCACACAGCCACTGCCCCAGCCTCTTGGGTGAACCAGATCTGTGTGCCACTGCTCCCTGCACATCTTGACTTAATTGCCTCAAAGGCGCATTGTGGGGTAAATGAAGTTACGAGGCTTTCTTCCACCCTCCGCCATTAGCACCTACGACTGACACCTGCAGCCTTGCACAGCGCCTGTGATTATGGACGCCTGAGCCCAGAGAGCAGGGCACCGCTTATGTAACTGGGGACATGGTGCCCAAGGACAAGGGGCCGTCAGGGCAGCACCGCTGTGGGGCGGGAGGGCGAGTGAGAGGAGGCAGCCAGAGAAATACTGAGGGGAAAGGCTGTCACTGGCTTTGTCAGTAACGACCCGTAAATACCTACCAGGGCTCCAAAACTGTCTGTCAGAACTGGGATGGCTGCAAGGCCGACTTGATCGAGCTCAGCTCGTCCAGCATGCAACTCCTGACTGCCTCCCTGCCACCCTGTCCTCCTCCAGGGCCCCCTCGGCTCAGGGGAAGACGTCAGTCTCCACTGGGATGTCCAGATCAGCAACCCAGGAACCTCTGGCCCTGCCCAGCCCCCGCTCCCTGAGAGGGGGCCCTCAGTCTCCGCCATTCCCTTTCACTAGGAACCATTTGTGGCTGTGTGAGACCTGCTCTTGCTGCCCGCTGCCCTGCTCACCGCACTTCTGCAGCAGACTCGGAGCGGGCTTCCTGCATGTCCTTGCCCTCACCATCCTCCTCCACACCGGAGTTCAGTGTGTTAGGGACATAGATCTCAGCATTTCGCCCTCCCTAACACCCTACTGCCTTTAAAATGCAACGAGCTCCTGGGAAGGCCGGGACACCAACCAGAAGCACTGCCTGTCCGGTGGTGGCAGCTCTGTATTTAGTGAGGGCAAATGCTTCCCTTCCGGATTTCTGGTAACCACAACCAACAACCCTATGGTTCAGGAAAGGACAATTCACCTTTTGAATAGAAACTTTTCAAATATCCGTATCTGGGACACATGTTACTGTCTGAAGTTGGACCAGGTGAAACCTGGAAGATGAACTAACCTAGAACAGGGAGGGGTTGGCCAATTACCTCGTGGGTCAAATCCAGTGCCACCTGTTTTTATAAATATTTGCTGGCATTCGGTTACACTCATTTGTTTGGGTTTTTTTCTCTGCTGTTTGCACTCGGTTGGCAGAGTTGAATAGTTGCCACAGAGCTTGTATGGCTTGCAAAGTTTAAGTTATCTGGCCCTTAGCAACTGCTGACTACGCTCTAAGTTTGCTGCCACTGGCCACACATTAAAATCACCTGAGGTTGGTGGCACGGGGCTGCCGGTCCTCATGCAACCACTGGATTTTGCACGTTATGTTGCCCGAGGACAGAGCCAGGCTGGACCCCAAACCCCAAGTGCTCCCTGAATCTGAATGAAGGAAGCTTGGTGTTGAGAAAAATCAGGGATGGGTCTGTGATCTGACCCATGAACCAGAACAACTAATCTTGCTTATTCCAGTGGCCACTGACCAAGATGCCAATGAAATGAAGCTGGGGGGGGGTGACTCAGCCCCACGCTTTACTCAGCTGCCCCCACTTGCTGACATCTCTTTGACAGCATTTCTTTGCCTTCTTGTTTCTCACTATGATCTTGAAAGGTTGTGCAGCGCCCTGACCGTGCTGGTGACCACTTTGCTCCTTGAGCCCAGCCCAGTGACTGCTCCGGGCTGCCCCGCAGCTGGGGGTCACCACGTAAGCCATGAGCTCTGTACTTGTAGAACACATCTGGCGGATGGAAGAAGCATCGGAGACATAAACCAGGCTGTCAGAGGGATTGTGCAAACCTGCTGTTTTGTTTTTTCCCCTTGCTGACTTCTCTGTCAACATATTGGAAACTTCCATTTATTCAAGAAAACTATTTCACATTCAAAAGCCTCTATTAAATAAGATTTTATAATTACACACACACACACAAATTACCTGAGTTCTCTTAAAAAGGCATCACCTCAGATCTGAGATGGCATTGAAAACTTTCAAATGTTTTCTAGGTGATTCTAGCCCAGCCATGGCTGAGAATCACACAGCTGAGTTAGGCCCAGAGGGCAGGATCTCGCCTTCTTTGTAATGAATAACAATCATAACACCTTCGAAGTGCTGCGAGGGGGGGGGCACATCTTACATTGTCTCCTTGGGTCTTCACAACAAATCTGAGCTTCAATGGGCAGGAAGCATCGTGGCCTCTTCTTCACAGAAAACTAATCAGCCTTAGGAAACTGAAGACTCGTCCTTAAAGTCTTTCACGTATAGGTTTTTAAACAAATCTGCCGAACACCGAGTTCACTGTCCATATTCCATGTCTACCTCGGACTGCAGCGTGTGGAGTCCTACTTTAGACATCCGGGCCTGTCACCCCCAGAACACAGAAAACCACCTTCCCAAAGCCGACTTTGCTCTGTGGGGCCCCAGGATTCTTCAGGGTGATGGGTGGAGTGAGAGGCTGCCCAGACACTCCAGACAGAGAGACTGGCATGCAAGGAGGCAGGCATAGGCCGCCCCACCCCCACCCCACCCCAGTGCCGCCTCTGGATCTCTCTGGCCTTCCCTCCGCTCAGTCATCTCCTGGTCGCCTCTGAGTGGTCCCCTGTAGCCACAGTCATAGTCGTAGAGACGCTGCCCCCAGCTTCGGCCTCCGGCACAGATGCCTGAACTTACACAAGCGCGGGCTCGTGCTCAGGTGTCTACAATTAGAGGCGAGCGTGCCTCGTGCCCACAGCTCCAGCCCGGGCATCCATGCTGGCGTCCAGAGACTCAACCACAGGCCCTTCACCTTCCACTCCGGCTGTCCTTCCCTGTGGAAGTGGGACAGTAATGATGGCATGATGGGAAAGACTAAGACCAACTGCACTTCTTCCTATTTCCAGCGAGGAAGGAAACTTTACTCCCATTCATAGAGGGGAGAAGCCCCTCAACAGGCAGAATAGTCGGCTTTTCACCCTCTGACTCACCTTCACCCTTCCAAGGAGGATGACGGATCTACTGCTCAGACTCCAGGATGCTGCGGTTTTAG